TGACAGACCTACACAGGGTAAATACTTTGAGAAGATCTTTCATGTTTTGAGGTTTATGGGGTTTGCTGATTGTGGGTGTTAACATGTTCATTATTCTATTGTGTCTTGTAGAGGTCATTTGGTCTGTTACTTTTTTTGCCTTAGCTTGAGGAATCATATTTTGAGTGGTAAGACCTCTGAACGGAGAATTTGCTTTTCTCAGCAGAGAGGTTACTTCTAACTTTGAAAGCATTGTAATGTGTTTCCTTTACAGGACAGTCTGACGGTTCTTTCCAATTGGAAACATGAGAAATGCCAAGTGTGTCTGTGTGAGTCAAAGGCAAAAGTCATTCTTACAGTTACATTTATGTTTTGTGTCGGTGTAGTGCATTGTGGAGTGGAGGGAGGTATTGTCAGAGTATTTTGACAATCTTTTAAGCTCTCTAAGTTAGCTTTTGCCCTTTAACTTAATGTGGTGCCATACCTCAATATCCATATTTACTATACTAACATGGGGCTTAGCTAACTCCAAAGTTGTTGCTTGTTTTTTTTTTCTTGAAATATCATATATACACAGTATAAATACCATAGCAAGTTCTGTAATTATTCAGTGCTAAGGGTATCTACCTGCTTGATCCTGTGTTTTGACAGTTGTTGGTCAAATATGAATGAGTTGGGAATGTTCTTTAGGTCAATATGATTTGCATATATTCACATCCCCAAACACAGACAATCTGCCTTCATTCTGCTAAAGAACAATTGAGTATTTATTTATTAAAGTGTAAATATGTATCACATTTCAAAATGGCTGTCTTTTGTTTGTCCATGATGCTGTTTCTATGCCTAAATCTTTTGTATGTCTGAAAAATTGTTTTTATATGTAATTTTTTACAATAAATATGCTCAAGTGTGATGGTTGTTGTGCTTTGGATCATCTTTGCTAATGGAAATATATTACATTTTATATGTGTATATATACTGTGTGTGTGTGTGTGTGTGTGTGTGTGTGTGTGTGTGTAAAATGCACTGTCACCATAATTTCATATTTGTTTTATGGTGAACATTTTAAATTCTGTTAAAAAGGAAGCACTTGTGCCTGAGCTAAGTGGGTTTTGTCATGAAGTGTCAAAATTCTATATAACATTTCGACAGCTCTTGCTGCACTTGCATTTTGTGGTTGAATTTCTGAAACTTGTTAACCAGACCCCCAAAAACACACAAATGAACAGGCAAACAAAGTCAACTTACTTTTACAATAGTACTAAGACGATGTGCTAGAAAGTCTAGAAAATCTAGCATGTTGCTTTATATCTGCAAATGTACACAAGCTTGCAAAGTCAAGATTTTAGGATTTGCCTATTTGTGTGTCAAACGATGCAACTGCTTAAAGATTGCATATTAGAATTATTGTCATTTAATGGTGGAGTCATAAGTACTAATTCAAAAAGTGGGCACTGAGAAAGGAAGCCAGTGGTGTGAACTTTTACATTAGCAACTTTTGGTCAATTGTGTGCAATTGTGTGAACTACTTCACAGCAGATATTCCACAGAGGGTGTTTTGTAAATGATGTAATGTGAGGATATGGAACCAACTTTAGTCTGTGTGAAAAAAAGATGAGGCATTAAACATCTGAGAGCTCTGAATGCTCAGACTTCAAACCAGACCACACTGAGGGTAAGAAGAATCAAGTAAAACAATACACAAACACGCTGAAGTGGTACACCTAAACCTATGCTGTCTTAAAAGCTTTTTTTCATGTACTCACCTCATGAAGAAAAAAAATATCAGTCAATAGAAGTGATTTTTGGAAATTTTCTTGTCTTTCCTGACAACTAAAATAATTCAGAATATTAAAGCATAAATATATTAAGTATTCTAGTAAAATTAACACATACATTTAAAATTAATTGGGGAAGTCATGGCCTAATGGTTAGAGAGTCGGACTCGTAACCCAAAGGTCACGGGTTCGAGTCTCGTACCGCAGGGATTGTAGGTGGGGGGAGTGAATGTACAGCGCCCTCTCCCACCTTCAATACCACGACTGAGGTGCCCTTGAGCAAGGCACCGAACCCCCAACTGCTCCCCGGGTGCCGCAGCATAAATGGCTGCCCACTGCTCCAGGTGTGTGTTCACTGCTGTGTGTGTGCACTTAGGATGGGTTAAATGCAGAGCACTAATTCCTAGTATGGGTAACCATACTTGGCCACGTCACTTTCACTTTTTTTCACTTTCACTTAATTATATGTTAATGGAGAAGAGTGATTTATTTTTAAACACTTGGAAAAAATTATCATCTAGTCTTTTCCCAATATATTGATACATTTATTTATTTATAAAAGTACTATTATTTATATTTTTTTTAAGTTGTGAATGTTACTAAAATGTTACTATTATTCGCTATCTTAAAAAAAATGGAAAATTTCACATTTTATTTTATCAGTATTTCTTATATCAGTACTCTCAGGATCATCTTAACCTTTTGGCATATCAAATGGAACTGTAACAAACCACACAATAACAAGCAAACACTACAGACCCCACCATTTCCTGTACACTGGTGCTTTTTCTACATGTTTTTTTTCTTTGACTCATAAAAGACAATTCTACCTCAAAATGGACAAATCTTTTCCTGTTATTTTGACATTCTGACACTGCAGTCTCAACTAACCACATCTTGTTTAGGATGACGGATGTAGAGAGCCAAAAAACTGCGACTGAAAGTGACCCTAGCCATGCAATGACAGCACCAATGTATCCCCCACCTCCATACATGCCCCCTCCTACGGGGCCTGTCATGTACCCTCAACCCGTTCCTGTGCCAGTCAGCTTCATCCCACCCAACCTGCCACCAGAAGAGTCCAGCATCAGCAAAACAGAAGAACCGAGTCTAGACCCAGCAGGTGTTTTACTATATTGAATTTCTTACTGTTTGCAAGATCCATGTAACATTTACAAAACCAAACAATCTGAGCAACGTTTGAGAAATAACCATCTAATGACTTGAATGTCATCACAATAATATTTTTCTTCTTCTAGCTGTATTTATTTACACCCGAGGAACATCAGGGGTGTATTCCAGAAAGCACGGTTAACTTACCGTCCGCTAAACCCTGAACTTTTGGTTGATTAACCCAAAACCTTGCTTACTCGAGGTATGTGGTTCCAAAAACGTTTCCAGGAGTAAGTTTACTCAACCCAGAGTATATTCCTGGTTAAAACTCGAGACATTCTCAACAGAGCGACGAATCGATGAGTCACTATGGAAACGGACGCTAAGAAAAAGCGCCATGCTGTTCCTTTCTTCTTCTTTTGTTCAATGGTCATTTACATGCTTAGTGCATATCGTCACCTAATTGATGGTTGTGTAATCATTTTTATTTTTTTTCCGTTTAAAGGGGTCATATGATGCGATTTCAATTTTTCCTTTCTCTTTGGAGTGTTACAAGCTCCATGTTATTTTTAGCAACATCATATGACCCCTTTAATCTCCAGGTTATCTTCACAGAGCAAGTTGCTATGGCTACTTACATACCCTGAAAGTTACCTCCGATTTTGGAACCGAAAGCTGAGGTTATCCGCTCACTTATCCTCAAACATAGCTGGGTATGTCACATAACCTGCTTTTTGGAATACCCCCCTGGCCTGTTTAAGCTCTCCATAAAACAAAGAAAACAAGCCCTGCAAATTAACAATAATTATTTTAAAACACATATATTATACAGACACTTCATATTTAATGGTATTTCATTATTTTGATTGCATTAATATATATTATACCCCCGGGTATGTCACATAACCTGCTTTCTGGAATACCCCCCTGATGATTGTGTCATCATTTGAAGATGATACCGTTCGGAAAGCATTTATCAGAAAGGTGAGCATTTCTATCATTTGCGAGCCATCATAAATGCAATGAGTGCTGGTCCTCATTGTCGTTTCCATCTCTCTTTCTACCCATGCAGGTGTTCAGTGTGGTAACAATTCAGTTATGTGTTCACCTTCTCAAAGACAGTCAAGACAGCGGTTCAGGGTAACTTTGGGTGTACCTCAGTGGGCACATGTCTTGCTGTGTTCTCCACATTCAGTCGCGCACATCCCTGGAAGCTGCTGGGACTGGTGATGAGTGTCTGTTTATTGATATGTCTTCATGCTGTGAATTACATGAACAATACTGCAACCCAGAAAAGTCACCTTAGGAGATGATGAACAGTTCTATCAAAATAGAGTGCAAAATAGAGTCAGGTAACTGTGATTTTCACTTTTTTTTTTTTTTTTTGGTGAAAATCACATTAATTTTCTCTGTAGGGTAACCGATTTTGAGCGTTGTTAATCAATGGTGTATGCTTTTATTGAAGCCATCAGCCCACATTATTTTGACATTTTTTTTCAAATAACCATCCCAAACACGGGAATTCCTGGTGAAAAACTGCTTAAAGGGGTCATATGATGCGATTTCACATTTTCCTTTCTCTTTG